CGACGGTGGTGATGGATACTCAAAATGAAGATTTCTTGAGGACTTGTAGCTTTTGCAATCGAGATCTCTGCCATAGTCGTGACATTTATATGTATAGGTACGATTTTAATAACTTCTTTATCAATTAACCCTCCAAATGATGTTTTAAGTATATCTACATATGTTATGGTTTAGTGAATTATTTATCTTGTATGATGAAGAATGTTGTACTGCATTGTTTTTTGTAGAGGGGACAACGCATTTTGTAGCTTAGAGTGCAGGGAGAAGCAAATTAAGCTTGATGAGAGAAAAGTGAAAAACCGGGTCGTATCATCCAAGAATCCAATTCGTATTTAATTGATCATGTATGATCTATAATAATAATTTTTTAACTTATGCGTAAAATTAATGCGTTCGGTTTTGTATATATATATGAATAATTTTTATAAGAAAAAGACGAGAAAAGCAGAAAAATGAGAGTAAATCATTGTATAGTGATCATATGTTCGTATGCATGATAATTTATGAGATGTAGAGTAATTGAATTTTATTTGTTCGTGTGATTTTTCTTTGTATTATCTAATGTGTTATGTATATAATATCAACTTTTGTATATATTCAGGTGGTCTACTACTTGTTCTAACATATATAATTACAATGAATAGGAAATTTCATAAACGTATTGTGATATTATATATCAGACGGACCGATTCTCAAGTGTAATTAGAAAATATAATTTGTGATAGTGATCAGTTCTGAGAAATTCTATAAATAAATGTATCGAATCTTGGGGTGACGAAAACCAAAGATTTTTTCTTTTTTAAGTGGGAATTCCAGTTGGCCGGCTAAATTCCCTAATATATAAACATTACAAGAAATATTGAAATATAAATCTTATGTTGGATGATTCGTTAGCTAAAATAGCGTTTGATGTTCTTGTTTTGTCGATGGTTTCGACTTAATAACTATCAATAAAATATTGTGTTTGACCAAAAAAAAATATCGTACTGTATATGTTTCGATAAGAATATTATCAGTTGCAATATCATATATCCATTGGAGATAAAACAATCTACTAAATGCGATATAAGTCTTAGCATACAAATTATCGTTTTCTACTAAATGCGATATAAGTCTTAGCATACTGCATACAAATTAACGTTTTGAACAATTCAAATTACGGACATTTTTGAATATTTAATTTATTAACGATCAATAAGGAATTACAATCTGAAAATAGGGGAAAAATCATAAATGCAACAAGAAATGTATTGAGGCTGATCAATATGTTCTAGTATATCTTTCTTTCGTTTTTTTTTACCATATATACCAAAACAATGGTAACAAATTAAAAACAAAAAGGGAAAACAACACAAGAATACCA